GGGTGGGTGGATGGACGGATGGGTGGGTGGACGGATGGATGGGTGGACGGATGGATGGGTGGATGGATGGATGGGTGGATGGATGGATGGGTGGATGGATGGATAGATGGATGGATGGGGAAACTGAGGCTCCAAGAGACCAGGAGTCACAGTGAAGACCAGAGTAAGTCACAAAGCCAGGTTGTTTGGAGGCCAGAGTCTTAACCCAGGGGGCGCATAGAGCCTGTCCAGGGCCTGGTCAGGGGCCCATGTATAAAGCAGTCATCCACGCCCCAGCCAACACCCTGACCTTCATCCCCCTGGGCCTGGAAGAAGAAGACGGAGTTCAAACCAGCTCTCCTAGGTGGGCAGGCTTAGGGGGCCTGAGAGGAAGATATATGTTAATCTGTTCATTCATTCAAACGTTTTCTGAGTGCCTACCTACGCGCCCACCTTGAGGGCTCACTGTGCTAGGTGGCGTGCAGAAGCTCAGGCGTGCAGAAGGTACACCTGAGGGGTAAGGCCAGAGAATTTCCGAAGGTCACTGTGTTGGATTCAGCCACCTCATTGCCACTACTCTGTCTCATGCACCGCGTTTCACAGGAGTGGAAACTGAGACCCCTGCCAGCAGTCCAGGAGGAGCATCCAAGCCCTCCAGAGCACAGTGGCCCCGACTCCGGTTTATCAAGCCACACCCTTGCTGCGCCCAGGCATCTTAAGCACACCGTGTCCCTTCCGGCAGGCGACACACAGGGTACGTGTTCGAGCAGCACGGTCATCTCATGGATGGACCCTGTGGCTGAGCCAGCGTGGAACCCCCGAGGAGCCAGGCGGGCATGTGCTCTTTGCCCATCTGGAACACCAGCTGGAGTGGCACCACAGCCTCTCGGTCTACCACCTACTTCAAGGCCATCCACGGAGAGCTGCAGCACGGCCCCCAGAAGTCTCACAGCCAGGGCAGCGTCCTCTGTATGCCAATCCCCACAGCCCCCGGACCCGCCCAGGCTGTGCCTGAAGTCCGAAGTCTGCCTGTACCCCTGCGCAAGTATTCTTCCCACCCAGCAGCCCCACTCCACCCTTCTTGTCTCTCCTGCTCACCACTTCTTCCGCTGGAAAAGGAACTTCAGCTGTCTCCTTTCTTAATACATCCTCCCCGCCCCTCACTCCTATTTCTGAGCCCACTTCCCCCTACGCCATCTGCTCTTGCCTAGGCCAAGCCAAGCCGCCCCTGGCCTCTGGGCCCATGTGACCCAAGAACTCTTGTCTCCCGCCTGGTTTTCCTGCTGCAGCCTCTCCTTGTCCTTAGCCCTCTCTCCTCCATGCCCCCAGCAGTGGCTGGCCCACAGATCTGTTTCCAGGCCTGACCCCTGCATCCCCGTTGTCCCAGAGCCCCGGGCTTGGGCCCCAGCTCACCACAGCAGGTTCTGCTCTGTCACAGGCTACAAGGCCGGCACAGCTCGACTCTGGCCTGTGGCTCCCTGAGTGAATAAATGCTGGTGACCAGCTGCTGCTTCACTGGTCTCAGAAGCGCTGGCTTTTACCTATCCAGCACCGACAACCAGGTGGCTTTTCACAAACTGAAGACCGACTGCCTTCTAAGCATCTGCCGGGGTTCCTCAGCACCACGGGACAAAGTTCACAATCTCTAGCTGGCAGAGGAGGCAGTCTGTGCTCCTCCAGTGGGCGGGGACTGTGGCCCTGAGTACCTCTTATCCTCAGTTCAAGAGTATCCATGTGCTGTTCACCTTTGCACCCTGGTTCCTGGCACATGCAGGTGTTTGCTGAACAGGAAGACCACTCTCAGAGCTAGAAATGATCTCAGGCACCACGGGGCTCAAGGTAATTCAGAGCGACGGACCCGGGGTGCGCGGGTACCAGGCAAGGGTGAGGCCATAACCTTACCTGAGTGACCCTCCTTGGTCAGTCACGGATCACTCTTCTAGAAACGAATCCCAGGTACACGCATGCCCGAGCCCCAGCTGACCTTGAGGGCTGGGACTGTGTCCCACTTCATGCAGGCCAGAGGCCAACCTTTGACCCAAACCTGCTCAAAGTACAGCTTCCGCAAACAAAGCTGCTTGTCTCAGCAGGACACAGCCCCAGCGTCCACATCCCTTCTCGCATGTCCCATGGGGCGATTTCAGAGTAGGAGTCTGAGATCTTGAGTAGATCCCAACCTTGCCCTTTGCCTAGGAGGGACTTGAAGCAGCAGGGTGCTAGTTTTCTGTGACTCTACTGCTAGCCCACCTTCCCCCAGGCCACTGTATCTATAGGATGGTGCACCAGCTATGCACCCGGAATACAATGAATACAAGGGGGTGGGGCATTGGGGGGGTGTTAAAAGCAGATCCCAGAGCCAGCCAAGCCCTGAAGTCCTAATACTTTGACAGCTAGGTTAGACAGCCATTCTTACACAGTCAGAGAAGGGTTGGGGCCTTAAGAAAGTCCGCACAAAAAATTATGAAGAGACGTATGGCTGGAGGCAAATCTGGAGAGCCAGGCCTCAGGATGGAGATCAACAGCCAGGCCTGTGCGCCTCCCTACAGGTAAACAGCAATTTGAGACTGTGCTGTAATTAGCACCCCCTGTTCTAGGGGGCCCAGCTGGGAATCAAGCACATAGGTTAGTGACCACAACATCCAGACACACACTCCTGTCACTTCCCCGTATACCCTTGCTATACGACTCCTTTCCCCATCGGATCAATGTTGGCTAAGCGACTATGCCCCTAACGCCCACGCTGTGATTTTGCTGTATAAATTACCCGACAAAGGGGCTTGGTGGCCAGTCACTTGGGACCTTTCCTGGAAATCCAGAAGCTCTTCTCCTTCTCCTTATTCCCAAGAAAATTCTAACTTTCTTGGCTCATAGTTCATTCCTCAATGTTGTGAGACCACAAAGTCAGCGCACCGATCAACTAATCTCATTTAGGTAGCAGCACTGGGATACAGGGAAATTGGGGGACGACAGAAAGGAGATTGCAGATTTTGGAGCCCCACGTGTTACAGGCAGACCTCTTTTTGGGGGGGGCGGGGACAAACACATTTACCAGAAACCCCGACGGGCCGGAAGTGGAGATTCCTATCACTATTTTTACCTAAGTTCCCGCTGAAAAGAACACCACCAAACTCAGGGAGGCTTCCGTGACCGCTTTTTCTTTCCGAGACTCAGCCCTAAAGGCTGCGGCGTCCCCCGACGCCCCAAGCCCCGGCCGGCGTGGGGTCCCGGGGCTCAGTGCGCGGCAGGGCGGGTCGGCGGGGCCCTGGGGTTCCCACTACTCACCCTGGACAGGCAGCTGCGCCCCGGGGCCAGGCTAGGGACCGCCCGCCGTCGCCAAATGGGAGCGGAGCGCACGGCGCCCCAGGCCCCGGCAGGGCTGCGCTTTAACGGGCCGCAGCCCAGGACCGCGCGCTCCCCCGTCCGGAGGGCTCCCGCGGGC